TGAAATTAGACTTTTTCTATCACTTCTAAGTTTTAATATTATTAAAAATTAGTATTTACATATAAAAATTTCGCATCAAAGCTAAAAAGTTGGCTATTTAAGCTCACTCAAATTTAAAAATTACTTTTTCGACTTTAAAAAAGTAAAAAAAAATTAATAAGTTTAATTTTTTATGTCTTATGACCTTTATTTTATTTAACTTTGTTAAATATAATAAAATAAATATTAAAATTATTTGACATTAACTTTACAACTGTATTTTTTTTTATTACTAACATTTATCAAAAAATATTACAAAATTTATGACATTTTATAAATCATACAATTTGGTTTGTATACATTTTTTATTAATTTTAATTGGCTTATTCTATAGCAACAACTAAAAAATTTATATTCTTGTTAAAATTTAAAATTAACTCCATTTAATTAACATAATAAATATTTGACAGAGTTAATAGCATACTTTCATCAAATTTGGATGGAATTTTGCGAAAATTCATTTGATTTAATTTATTTTATACCACTTTGAATTTTAATGATTCAGTTTATTTAGCAGATAGTACTAATAATATAACTTTTCAAGTATTAATTGATATGTTGTTTGACATGAATTAATTTCATTACACCTACTAAAAATGAAAATATGTAATTTTTAAAAGATTCTTTATAAAGAAAACCCTTGTGGTTTTAAAATAGATGTACAATCTACTTTCACTTTTGAAATTCAATTATTTTAATATTGAATAAAAACTTACTAAAGGTTTAAATAAATTAGGCTTATTCTCTACGAAAACATTCTAAAACATAATGTTTACTAGTTAAATGCAAAAACATGACAAAGCAATTAAACAACATGAAATTTACTTTTTGTAAAAAAAACAATATTTTTTAAGATTTATTAAAAGTTAAGATTTTTTTTTATTTTAATAATATTGCTAATTCGTTAACTTTCTAAAGCAAAACTTAGTGTAAAAAAACTATATAAGTAAAATATTTGAAAAATTCCCTTAAATTAATTAGAATTCATAATACCACGAAGAAAAATAAACAAATATTTTTTGCTAGGTGTTTATTATACTAAAATTAGATTTAATGAATTGAATATTTTCTAATTTGAAAAGCTTGTTTTATTCAAAGTTTAGATTAGTACTGCATAATTTAAAGCCTCGATCAAACTGCATGTTTGTTGTAAAATAAATAATTAATAAATCAAAAAATTTTTTTTTACTTAGTTGTTATTTTAGAACACTTTTTTGGCTCCTTAAAAAAATGATGTTGGCCAAAAAGAATACTTTTTTATTTTTTTGCTGGCCACTATATGACAAAATTTTTCATATAAAAGGAGTGGAACACTTTCAAAATGTAACCTTTTTTAAATTAAATATAAACGTGACAATTTTTCGTTATTCTAACTTCATACTAAGTGCTTAAATTTTTTTTAATTAAATACATCAAGAACATCTCTTGCTACCAGTATGCAGTCAAAGGTTATGTGGAAAATTTACCATCTCGTATTTTGGTGTGGAATTTATTTCATTACAGAAAATGACTTCATCAGGACAATGGCAATGTATTGTGCTGTTGTCATAACACTGTTGAAAATTATTGATTACTGTACACTTTTTGAGAAAACGGAAACAAAAGTCATACAAATTAATGAACTGAACGCTGAAGATGATAAACTACCATCGCCATGTTCTCCGCATTCAACTGTCCCTCCAACAAATATCCCCTGTGTATTTTCTTCGTCAAAAAAATACGGGCATTTTTTCCAGCCATTAATAAGTGCTGAATGCTCGTACAATTTAAAACTGGGCGAAAAACATTCGTTTGAATGCAAAATCGTTAGCTCTCAAAACTACAATAAAAAATCAAAAGTACGTTTTCAAATGAGTAGTAAAAATAATGTATTTGTAGTTGACGAAGAATTATGGATTTCAAGTCCAAAAATGACCAACGCCATAAAAGGAATTGTTACGAACTTCGACCAGTTCATGAGCGTTGTTGATGTAGAAGTAAATTTTTCAATCGACTTGCCAATTGGGACACCGGCAACTTTAAAAAAGTCATTTGATAAAACCCCTTACACTCGGATGGAAGCGGCACTTGCTACTTTTTCTTACAAGTACGAATCTGTTTCACCTGAAGTAAGATCAATGTTGCTCGGACGTCAACAACAACATTCACCCGAACGTGACGAAAATCTGACAGATAACAGCCTATTAGCTCCCAATTTACCTGGTTTGAATGAGTCACAGCTGTCTGCTGTGAGCCATGCCCTACGCACGCCAGTTTCTCTAATCCAAGGGCCTCCCGGTACTGGAAAAACGGTTACTTGTGCCAATATTGTATACAATCTGTCCAAGTCCGGAACCGTATTAGTTTGTGCACCGTCGAACAACGCTGTTGATAACTTGGCAAATGCCGTGGCTAAAACAGGCATCGATGTCGTGAGACTTGTGAAAAAAACGAAAGAGACGGTTAAAAGTGATCTTTCAAATATATATCTTAGTGAACAAATTAAAAAGCTTGCTGGTCATTCAGAATTTAAAACTCTTCAAGGGCAGATTGATCAAGGTGTCGAGTTGAGCCCAAATGAGAGAAGGGACTACAATTATCTGAGAAGAATGGCGGAAATCGACTGTCTAGCGAATTGTCGAGTGGTGTGCACAACTTGCTCCGGCGCCGGCGACAACCGTTTAGAAAAAATCAATTTTTCTTCGGTGGTCGTGGATGAATGCGCTCAAGGCTTAGAACCGGAATGCATCATTCCAATCACCCACGGAGCCAAAAAAGTGGTGTTAATAGGTGACCACTGTCAGTTGGGGCCGGTTGTTACGTGTCCGGACACTAGAAACGGAGGTCTGCATCGTTCTCTGTTCGAGAGATTGGTAGCTGCTGGCCTACAACCATTTCGTTTAACTGTACAGTACAGAATGCACCCCGAGATCAGCGAGTACGCTTCACAAACTATGTACGAGAGTACGATTAGGAACGGCGTAACTTGTAGCGACCGAACTGGGTCGATTGATTTCACGTGGCCTAACCCAAATGTGCCGATGGTATTTTACTCTTCCGATGCCAACGAACGAAAATCGCGATCGGGCACGTCTTTCTTGAACTATGGAGAGGCGAAAGTTGTTGAACAACTAGTAGCCAAACTCCTTAGCAAAGGAGCTACTCCAAATCAAATTGGTGTTATAACTCCATATGAAGGACAGCGATCACTTTTGAAACAAATTCTAAACAAGAACAAAGGGGTGGAAGTCAGTAGTGTGGACGCTTTTCAAGGCCGTGAAAAGGAGTACATTATTATATCGTGTGTCCGCTCGAACGAGAGAAACGTCGTTGGTTTCCTGAACTGTGTCCGTCGGCTAAATGTGGCACTTACGCGTGCAAAGTTTGGTCTTTTTTTAGTTGGTAACGCTAACTTTTTGGTTAAAAACCCTACGTGGAAAAGTTTACTACGGTATTATGACGACAGAAATTTGATTGTGGAAGGAACAGTTGATGATATGCGTACAGCACATATTAAGTTTGATTAATTATATATATCATAGCATTTACTTATGAGTAATTTTATTTTATTAATTTTTCTTTAATTGTTTGATACTCTAAATTTAAAAAAAAATTATTATTATTAATTAGTTATTTTTGATACATCAATTATTTATTATACATACTGTTCTATTTTTAAAATTAAAAACATATTTTATTTAAAAAAATTAACTTTTTTTATTCACCTCTACTTTAAAGTAATTGATTAATTTGATAATTCATTAAGTATCATATAACTTAGAGGGAGGTGTTGTCTAATTGGTATGCGGCACTATCTGATGTACGTAAGTTTAGGTTTGAGACTTGGTTACGAGTAGTTCCGTTTGCTAAGCAAGACAAGTATTAAACCACATATTCTAAATTATCCATGGTTAAGTAACCTACACTTCATGTCTTATTGAGCTATAAAATTGTGAAAAAAATGATTTAATTAAAATAACTTTGTAAGAATCAAATTAAAATGTACTTCATATTAATCAATATCAATTTAATAAAATTGGGAGCTTAAATAAAAATATGCATTGTTTAAAAATTTATTGTTTTATTTTAATTTTACACTGAGTTAAATGATATCCATTCAATGAATAATTAAAATAAAATTCTAAGTGTTATTATTATTATTTTATTATTGGGATTAATTAATGGATATAGTTGGCACATTACTTTGAGAATTTATTTTAGATATATAAAATTAACATTCAACTTTAAATATTACACCAACTATAAAATAATTTAATATAAGTAAAGAGAAATTAGAAAAAGTTTAAATAGGTATAATAGCCATAAAAATATTTTTAATTGTTTTAGGCAAAACTATTAGTTTAAAAATATTTAAAATCTTTAAATTTAGTTTAGTTTAAATGTTTTTATATCATTGTTATAACATATGGAAGAGACTTAGAATAAATAACAGGTTATTTTAATAAAATAAAAATTATACTAATTTTTTTTTTTCATTTAATACAAAAAAAATTTAATATTCTAATACTTAATTAATTTCAACTATGGAAGTATAATTAAATTTGATTTTCATATTACAAAATTCTACTTAACATTAAATTATAATGGAAAAGTGGGATTATTGTTAAAATGATTTTTGTTAAAATAGGATTGATTTGAAAATAGCTGTTTTAGACTAATGAAAAGTCATAGGACCAAGTGGTTAGATATTAATTTTTATATAGAACTTGTTCAGTCTTAAAAAAATAAATAAATAGAGTTAGTATAACAGTTTTTATAATTCTTCTTTAGAAGGACCATCTAATTCAACATCTGATAAATCAATATCTTCTACTTGGGGTAATTCACCATCTTTTCCATCCCAAGGTTCAGTTGTATTAATTTTAGGCAATTCAGCACCNATTGTATTAATTTTAGGTAATTCAGCACCTCTGACTGGAGCTGTTCGTCCACGTCCATATGATAAATCCCTAGTTTTTTTTTTAAACAAATTATCAAAACTGAATAATTTTTAATAAAAAAAATATATAAACCTCAAAAATTCATTAATGCTATCTTTTGAAAAAGATCCCCTTAAAATAGTGTACTTCATTTTTTTAACATTTAAAACTGCTAATGCAGGATAACCAAATCCACCAATTTCTAATGATGATTCCAATTCAGACTGATTTCCTGCTTCAGACCATAACCATCTGAAAAAATAAGAACTTGTAATCACAAAAGAATAAGGACAGTAAATGTTTTTAAGTAAAATTAAAAAGTAATAATTTTCTAATATAATTAAGTGATGTAGTTTACCCCCAAATCTTTTGTTTAAATTTATCTCCCAATGAGCCCAACATTTTGATGTATTCATTACGACAACTGGACTGACAATCTAAGATATGAGGCAATACAGCAATTACACATAAAGCATATTCTGAACATCCAGACTTGAAGGTATCTTCATTTATAACCTAGTACAATATGATTGATTAAAGGTAAATTATTTATTTCAATATAAAAATGTAGATTAAATTTCAGAAAGTACTATATAAAACAAAAATCTTATACAATTTTCAAGATTCAAAAAAAAATAAGTTCGGTAAAATAAGAAAAATTTGNAAAAAACCCAGCACAGTGAAGTCGCGGCATAGTGGGTACGTTGCATAGTTGGGTCCAGTATAGATTTAATCTGACAGTGATTAAAATCACTATCATAAGAAACGCTTCGATGCAAATCAGTAGATAGTGTTTAATTCTAAGAAATTGGTGGATAATTACAAAAGCTANTTCTAAGAAATTGGTGGATAATTACTAAAGCTGCATGATCTGCTAGTTCCTTATTAATACCCTGATTAAGATAAAGTATGTCGAATGAAAAAGGGATTATTAAAAATTTTTTGTAATTTATGAATAAATACACTAAACAAAAGAAACTTTCATCAGAAAAAAAATATACTTTTCTAAATAAACTTTTCGCGATGTTTTCAAATGTGCAATTAAACTTTTTCTATTACTTCTAAGTTTTAATATTATTACTTATTATTAAAAAATAAGTATTTACATATAAAAAAAAATAATTAAGAACAAAAAAAATTGTATTAAATTAATACTGATTTTGATTTTTAATATGTTAAAGGTAATCATTTTGAACCTATTTTTTATTGTCTTTTAAAGTGAAAGTTTTAATGAAAAATACCTTCTCAGCTTCGCATCGAAGCTAAAAAATGAATTTGTTACCATAACTTATATTTCAACTTGCAAGTTTGAAATTGACATTATTAAATTGAAAAAAATGAAATTTTTAAGATTAATATGCAATCTGGAAATTTTATAATTACTA